CTAGTAACAGTTTCTCTGACTTTCAAGTTTGGTTCACAACAAATGGTGTGCAGCATATTATTCCATTGTACTATGACTTTTATCTCGAATTGTCTTTCATATATAACTACGGAAAAGTGCTGAAAAAGTATTGAAAAATATATTTTAGAGTACATGTTTTGAAGAACTGAAGGTGTCACCAGGTCCCTCGGTCCCTCGGTCCCTCGGTCATTTTAACTTCTCTGAAAAAGTGTGACAACATGACATTTTGACAACAGTCCAGGAAATAAACTTCTTCTTCGTAAATGTTTTGTCATGACTTCTTCGTATATGTTTTGTCAAGACTTCTTCGTATATGTTTTGTCAAACATGAACGTAAATGTTTTGTCATGACTTCATCGTAAATGCTTTGTCAAACATAAACGTAAATGTTTTGTCATGACTTCTTCGTATATGTTTTGTCATGATTTCATCGTACATGTTTTGAAGAACTGAAGGTGTCACCAGGTCCCTCGGTCCCTCGGTCCCTCGGTCAACTAACATCTTTTTGAAAATGGTGACAACATGACATTTTGACAACAACACAGGAGGAAGGCAGTTATGACTTCATCGTACATGTTTTGTCAAGACTTCTTCGTATATGTTTTGTCATGACTTCATCGTACATGTTTTTGTCATGACTTCATCGTAAATGTTTTGTCATGACTTCATCGTACATGTTTTGTCATGACTTCTTCATCGTACATGTTTTGTCATGACTTCTTCATCGTACATGTTTTGTCATGACTTCATCGTACATGTTTTGTCATGACTTCTTCATCGTACATGTTTTGTCAAGACTTCATCGTACATGTTTTGAAGAACTGAAGGTGTCACCAGGTCCCTCGGTCCCTCGGTCCCTCGGTCATTTTAACTTCTCTGAAAAAGTGTGACAACATGACATTTTGACAACAGTCCAGGAAATAAACTTCTTCTTCGTAAATGTTTTGTCATGACTTCTTCGTACATGTTTTGTCATGACTTCTTCATCGTAAATGTTTTGTCAAACATGAACGTACATGTTTTGAAGAACTGAAGGTGTCACCAGGTCCCTCGGTCCCTCAGTCCCTCGGTCATTTTAACTTCTCTGAAAAAGTGTGACAACATGACATTTTGACAACAGTCCAGGAAATAAACTTCTTCTTCGTAAATGTTTTGTCATGACTTCTTCGTAAATGTTTTGTCAAACATGAACGTACATGTTTTGTCATGACTTCATCGTAAATGTTTTGTCATGACTTCTTCATCGTACATGTTTTGTCATGACTTCTTCTTCGTACATGTTTTGTCATGACTTCATCGTACATGTTTTGTCAAGACTTCATCTTCGTATTCTTTCACCCGTTGAATTTTGTATAAAAAGCAACCGTCGAAATTCTGGCGGTTGGTATATTCTTCACAAAATGCTTGTTTTGAGGTCGAGCCACTTTTGGTTCACCGTATTTTTCAACCAAAACTCATGAATTTTCCCGAAATAAAAAATAAAGTTAGTTTTTTAAAAAAAATATTTTTTATTTTTATTGTAAGAACATGTTAGCAACAACAGCACCAAACTCGTTAGTCATGAACCCAACTTCAATGTTAGTAGAAATGAAAAGCTTCATTCCTTCTTCATATACTTTCGAAACAGAAATCCAGAAGATAAAGCAAGAACTTCTCCAAGGAGATTTAGACTGTAGTGCAAAAGATGAAACAAATGAACAATATCTTTATGAAATGCAGGACCTGGTGGAACATCTACCTAAACTTCCTGAAATCCAACAACAAAAGCTCACTATTCCTGAATTCGATGAAATAGAAGTGAAACCAACTGACTCAGTAGAAATAAAGAAGTTCATACGAAAGGTAAACTATGAGTTTCTTGGATTTCATTGCAACCACAAAGACTGCGATATGGTATATTTCATGGACATATATAAATCTGGGGAGTTTAAGACCTACGACAACTTTGTTTCGTTAGTTGCAAAATGTGTATGGCAGATAAGAGATAAAGATAGAAGAGGTAAAGTATGGAATGAACAGATAAAACCCGCAACTTTTGAGTTAAAGAAAACCATTTACGCCTTAGTTGTTTTAGCAGGTAAGGTTTCAATGTACAATGCTAAACTGAACCCACAATGTTCAAAATGTAAAGCAGCAATGAAGAAATATAACTACTCCGTCAAAGAGATAGAACGTATGAGAAACGACTATGCTGACTTAAAGAAAGAAGCAGAGAAACCAGCAGAAGATAAAATGGACATGTTGACATTTCTGAACAAAAACTATCCAACTGCTGACGATTTCCTTCTATCTGATGTCAAGAAGAAATATAAAGAAACCTTCGGCATTGTTAAAACTTTTGATATCCTTCGTGAAGAAATAGAAGCTACAAAACTGTTTAAAGTCATGAACCATCACAACATATACCATGTAAAACGCTTATAAAACTTTATGGTAGAAATATTTTTTGTCTGATTTACGCTCATTGACGATGAAGTTTTGACAAAACATATACGAAGAAGTTTTTCCTGTGTTGTTGTCAAAATGTCATGTTGTCACCATTTTCAAAAAGATGTTAGTTGACCGAGGGACCGAGGGACCGAGGGACCTGGTGACACCTAAAATATATTTTTGCTGAAAAAATGACCAAATTTCATTATATAACTGTTATTTTTTGACGAAGAGAACTTTTACACTTCGTAAAAAAAATCCCTGAAATCGTGAAAAAATGACCAAATTTCATGATATAACTGTTATTTTTTTACGAAGAGAACTTTTACACTTCGTAAAAAAATCCCTGAAATCATATCTTTTATACAAGATAGAAAATCTTACTCGCCTAAAACTCATGAAAATCGTAAAAAATTGCGAGTACGTAAAAAATCTTACTCGCCTAAAATCCCTGAAATCGTAAAAAAATGACCAAATTTCATTATATAACTGTTATTTTTTGACGAAGAGAACTTTTACACTTCGTAAAAAAAATCCCTGAAATCATATCTTTTATACAAGATAGAAAAAATAAAGTTAGTTTTTTAAAAAAATATTTTTTTATTTTGTATGTAAGAAACAGAAAATGTTAAACATTGAGTTTGAAACAGTTAGAAAGATAGACAATGACACCAAAATGGTTAGAATATGTGATTTAAACGTAAGATACTCAAAGAAATACAAGAAATATTCTTTGTCAGACATTTTATCTCCATTTGGAAAGAGACCGAAGGACTGGGTTAAAATTGCTTCTACTCAGAAATTTTTGACAAGAAATCCTGAGCTTTTGATATCGGTAGCATTTCATGGAACAAGAGCATATCTTATAGACAAAAGTCTTATACCAATAGTTTTGTTATGGTTAGACCCAGTTGTTGGATATAACTTCATAACATATGGTTCATTCGATACGGAACGTTGCAGTGAAGGCTTACTTTACATCGTTCAGAAACCGAAGGACTTCAATACAAAAAGATATAAGATAGGAAGAACATATAATATAACTCAAAGATATGACAGTATAGTCAATAGAGTCAAGGTTGTGTTTGTTAACGATATGAGAGCTGCTGAAACAGAACTACTCGAAAAGTTTGAGAAAATGTATGGTGCTCCCACGAAAGGTAAAGAAACGTTTTGAAGTAGATGAGATAGATAAAGCTATAAAATTATTTGACGAAGTTGCTGAAAAATACATGTAAAGCGTTTATTTTTGGTCTTTTGTGAAAATAAAAAAATAACGCTAATTTTTTATAAAATATTTTTTTTATTTTGTATGTAAGGACAGATATGTCAACAACAGAGAACACAACAACTGCTATCGTTCATGAAGACATAAATGAAGAATACGAGTGGGTTCAGTATAACAAACAGTTACGTCTCATTCGTTCGGTCAAAGATGACATGTACCAAATGCAAAGTATTTTGAATGCTCTTCGTTCTACAAAGCCAGCACATCATTGGTTTGAAAACCAACAGACAAAAGAACTTTTAGAAGAATTTCCTCATATGTTTGCGACCAGAGGAAAACCGCGGAACGAGATTCCATACGAAAATCGTAAAAATTTGCCAAATGGTTTGAGAGGATATTATGTTCATAGACTTTTAGTAAATGCTGTTGCAATGTGGGCTTCACCTCGTTACGCTTGTTATATTTTCATGATGTTAGATGAAATTCATAGACAAGAACGTGAAGAGCTAGAGAACAAGCTTGAAGCAAAAGACAAAAACATACAGAAAAGAATACCACGTTCGGTACCAAAAGGAAAGGAAAAGAACTATAAGTATATGATTTATACTGAAGATATGGAGAAAGAAGAAGATAAAGATATGGTTATGTTGCATTTAGTCAGAAGAAACAACAAAAGCTTTTACGACCTTGCTAAGATTTACAAATCTGACAGAAATTGGTTCTATCGCGAAAACTTACGATTTCAATGACACCAAATGAAGATGTGAAACAAATAGTTCAAGATACTTTACCTCAAACACACTATGATATTAAAGGTTGTACAATACTTACCTTCAAAGAAGATTTGCCGCTACTGAAAGAAAAAATAACAGAGTATTTTGACAACTTCAAACAAGCAGAGTAAATGAACCATTTATTTTTCAAGCTTGACTTCAGATGGCTCAGGTAGCTCTATAAGGTAAATTGCCCTGTCAAATCCTTCTGGCATTCCGAGTTCTTCCTTCCGACATTCCGAGTCCTTCCATCCGACAAGAAAAAAATTTCCCGACAACTGGAAAAAAATTTCCCGACAACTGGAAAAAAATTTCCTGTTGTTCGTCCGTAAACCATTCGAATTTTCGAAAATTGAGAACTTTTTGGTCGAACTTCAGAAAAAGTTTTTCCTTCCGACAGAAAAAGTTTTTCCTTCCGACATTCCGAGTCCTTCCTTCCGACAGGACACAAACGGATGACTGACGTTCCTCTTCCTGAATGTCTTCCAAAGCCAGAAGAACCGACAGCCCCAGCACCACAACAGACTAAGACTAAAACACTTACATTTTTACGCTTGACTTTTTACAATTTGAACTTTGTTTGCGTAGATGTGAATTCTGAAAGAAGTATGAGGGTCTTGTATGACTTTGTACTTCTCCCATAGTTCATGTCTGTCAAACTTACCTGCCATGGACTCTTTCATAAGTTCCATGAAATCGTCTTCGGACAATCCGGGGAAAAGTACAATGTCAGTAAGTATTCTCTTTACATCCCTACTTAAACTCTTGGCTGTCTGTACACAAATGACAACTGAAATGTTAAAGTGTCTGAGCTTCTTAAGAATTCGACACATATCTTGTTCTCTATTCTTTAACAAAGGATGAGAGGCGAAATCATCTAAGATAAGAAGACATCTGTGAGGGTAAGTCTTCCAATCGTAAGATTGCAATTTCTTCGAAATGTATTCTATCTCTTTCTGTTTGTTTCTGAAGTGTTTCTTCTCTAATATTCTCTGCATTTCCTCATTTGGGTCTTTAAACTTCGAATTTATATACTCATTTATAGCATTGTACTTCAAAACCCTTCTTTGGTACTTCTTTATCCAATCTAACAACTCAGTATCCTTTATACATACTAACTTAGACTTCTTTATAATATCTTTGAACGAATTTACGGTTTGGTCAAATTGACCAGAAGTCGAACAAATAACAACTAACTCATAGAATGGGTTCTTCTCATCTAGTTCTTGTTGTTGTGCAGCCATTTTAAGATAAGTGAAAGTCTTACCCGACCCAGGTGGTGCAATTAGACCTGTTATACCATTCTGAGCAAATAAGAACTTTTCATGTATAGGCTTTATCTGAGCATTTTCTAATTTCACCTTGTTCTTGTTTAAAACATTCTCAAATTTTTTGTCAATGTCAGCAAACTTTTTTTCTAACATATTTTTAGAAAAATTAAAATTTTTATCTTTTAGAAAATGTCTAGCGATTTCGCTATCTATATTCGAGACAAGCTTTTCGACAGCAAAACATCTGTCGACCATAAAATCTTACATAGTGTAAACAAGAAAGGTGAATTTGTTCTAAAGTTCTGTTTCTGGGAATATGACAAGAACCATAAACATTAAGCAGAGCAGTCTTAAAATTTGTCAATGACAGACTTGTTGACAGAGATGACGCCGATTGGAAAGATGAAGTCCAACAAAAGTTCTTAGAATGCAAAGAAGACACATGCGCTGTTCTTGAAGATGAAATAGAAAACAGAATAGATGAGCTATTAAAGGACAAAGAACTTTTACATAAATATGGTTCGGAGAAATTTGACATAACTCCACCAGAAAAGAAGAAGAAAGAAAAGAAAGAAAAGAAAGTAGAAGAAGAGAAGAAAGAACCTGAACCAGTTCCAGAGAAAAAGAAATTTGACATGTAAAAATAAAATTTTATTTTTAGAACATTTCTGGGTCAATGTCAATGTTCTCTTCCTCTTTAGGAGCAAACACTGGCTTAGACTCTAAAATCTTTTTACCCAATTTACCTTGAACTTCAACTATCTTAGACTCATAATATTCATAGTCGTCTGCTTTCTTTGGTTCATAAGGTATAACAAGTTTGTATGCTTTGCCTTCTTTAAGGTTTGAAAACCTTCTGTCAAAACTTTCTTTGACTGTTAACAAACCTTCTATGTCTAAGTCTTCAAATTTCGCACCATTTTTAGTCACAATAGCAAACTTAACTGGTTCGATGTTCCAAACTTTGCTGAATGAAGACTTTTCAAATGGTAGAAGTAAACATTCAAATATGTGAATGGGTCTAGTTCTTCTTTAAGTCCTGACATGTACTTGTTTACTGAGATGAATTTCGTCATCTTTTCTATCGGATAAAAAAATATTTTTTTTTAAAATTTACTCAGAAAAATTATTTCTTTATATATTTGCCATTCTGAACTTCGAAAAGATGTTTTATACCAGCATAGAATTTTTCTCTAGAGCTTGGTCTTATATCGTTTTCATGACAATATTTTCTATATTCTTCATATAAAGCCCTTTTTTCATACATTTCATAAGGACAATCTAACCAGAATAGCGCATATCCATTTCGTTATCTAGGTCTCTATATGTTTCTTCTGTTTGTAGAATTTCGCTTTCTCTATTTAGTTCTATGTCTATATATTGTGGCTTAAAAAGATGTGGGCAAGAAGGGTTTGGCGCTATGTAAAAAGTTAATTTTTCTGTCATCTTTTCTATCGGATAAAAAAAATATTTTTTTTTAAAATTTACTCAGAAAAATTTTTCTTTGTATATACACCATTCTGTACGTCTAAAAGACTTTTGACATTTGCCAAGAATGTTCGTTTAGACGCTGTCATATAACCATATTCTTGACAATACTGTTTATACGAATCGTACAATGACCTTTCATCTAAACACTCAAAGTCAGTTTCATCTATGAACAGTTCATATACACTCTTGTTTGCTTCTAACAATGTTTGTCTCTCTTCGGTATGTGGAATTTGTCTTGGATTGAACTTTGAAATATCTAATGTCATGAAATATGAGAACAAGTGGTTGTAAAAGTCAGATGTCAAAGTTTCTGCTAAGTCGTCAAAATATTCTGTATCTTGCATATGAGAATCTGACGTTCTGACAACTACATATCTTCTGTCAGAACTTTCTAACTTCATCGAACAGCATTGTTTGAAACCATAATGAAATTTGCAACATTTTCACAAACTCTTTGGTCTTTATATTTTCTTTCAACAACTCCAACTTTGTCTGTTATAAGACTCTTCAAAGCATCTGAGTTCAAAACTTTTGTTGTATCTATACTTTGAAGTTCGTTACATACTATAAGTTTCATATTCTCTATTGAAGAGTTAAATTTACCGCAGATGTTTTCTAAGTTTGTCATATTCGGGTTTGAATAGCCCTCTAACAGTTTGCATAAGATATCTGTAAAGAACGTGTTCTTACCTGTTCCTTGTTTTCCAATTATAATGAGAGCAGTTTCATTTTTAGCACTTGGATGTTGTAAGATGTTTGCAAACCAACATAAGATATACTCATAGACTCTTTCGTTTCCATTGCATATAATTTCTTTGACATGGTCTAACCAAGCTTCTATAATATTTTCTTTCCATTCTACTTGTTCGTATTTATATCCAGTGAAGATAGAATAGAAGTTTGGAGAAGGTGTATAGAACTTTATACCTCGAACTGAAAAATCTTCTAACTTTGACAATAAGATATCCCAAGCATCTAACATCTTCATGCCAACTTGTACGACTTTTATTTTCTTAAGTTTCTGTCTACATTCTTGTTCTGAAACTATTGTTGCTCTTGGTTTGTTAAAGACTACATCCCATTCTTTCATAACATAACATTCTGGGGCAGAGTCGACATAAATGACTAAACGTTTCAAATTCTCGACTGCTTTGTTATAGTCTCGAAATGGACACATATTTCTGAACGCTTGGAAGTCATAAAAATCTGAAACATCTATTCTGTACATTTTTATAAAAATAAAAAAAATAGTTTTTTTATTCTTGAGCTATTTGTTGTTCTTGAGCTATTTGTTGCATTTGTTGTTCTTGAGCTATTTGTTGTTGAAGTTGTTCTTGTAATACAATACTTTCACCAGTTGCATCTTCCAATTCGAAACTTTCTGCCGTCATTGACAAATACATAGGACATAAAAGTTTTACAGGAACAAAGTTTGCGTCAACTAAGGTTAAGTTTATGTTTGCTAAAGTGTTTGAGTTTACTAAAGCTGAAAACTCTGCATTCGAATGAACAATAGGCAAACCAGCAGAGAAAGTGTTGTTTATACGCATAAGTATCTTTTGGTCATAGTAGTTTCTGTCGACATTCGAATAACACTTTGAACCTAAGTTTGAAACAATATATAAAATAGGTGTGCTTAAAGTCAATGGAACAGACATTCCTTGTATGACACCTTTTCCTGTTATAGGAAACTGTTGGTAGTAAAAACCAGATATAAGTTTTGTATTATAGCTCATATCGTTTATAGTAAACTCAGTCGGACATCCAAACATAATGAAACCTGCTCTAGTTGCAGCACATGTTACACCCGTACTTAAAGTATTAAATAAGTCAACAAAACCTGTTGGTGGTATATCTGAGTAAGTATCTTCAAAGGAGTATTTTTACCATTCACAACAATAAAATCTTCTGGTGTCAAAAGAGCAAAACAGGCTTTAGTCGTCATTGTGTTTAAAGTTAGTTTACAATATCGTCCTTGAGGACTTTGTAAGTTTGTTGTATAGAATTATATGACTCAGGGTTTTTAGTCGTAATAGTATAAACCACTATGTCTTCTGCCATTTATATATATTTAAAAGTTTTTCTGAAAGTGGAGAAGAACTTCATCTAAACTTTCACATGGCGTTTCTTGAAGTTCTCTGTCTAAGAAGTTCAAATATTTTGTAAAGACATAGAACTTTCCTTTGTCTACACGAACAAACAAAACAGGGTCTTTCATATCGTTCAAAAGTGTGTAAAGTCCTTTACATGAAATAAAGTCTATATTATTTTTCTTCAAACATCTTTCAAGAAGTTTTGACATTTTTACTTAGCAAATAAACTTTAATGAAATGTTGTGGTCGTCAAATATTTTTATAACGTCTGGGAAAACTATATTTTAAGTTCAACGTTTCACCTCCTTTCATAACGTATATCTTGTCAATGACATTATATGAAACACCACAGCAACTAACGTCGGGTTCTATTTCTTTGATGTTTATATCGTCTGCCTCTGTCAAAAGTTTCAATAGTTCTTTCAAAACTTCATGAGGTGCAATGACATATGAGTTCACTTTTACAGGGTTGTGTTCGACCAAGTTTAACATTATACCTAAAGCTTGACAAATCTTCTCCTGAGTTTGAAGTTTGTCTTTCAGTTGTTGGTAGTCGTTTCGAATATCTGCAACAGAACTTAAGTCTCTGCTAACTTCAGGATATGTTGGTTGTTCTTTTACAGGAACAATTGTTATACCATCTTCGTCCTCGTATGGTTTCCCCACTTCAACATCTCTGTCTTTGACATTGAACAACAACACTTTGACTGTTTGTTTGAGTTGGTGAATTTAACTTCACATCTGCCACCGCCATTAAACCTTTTGAAACACTTACGCTTCTATTTTTCGGAAATGACATTTTACTTAGAATAAAAAGATGGACGTATTTGAGTATCTCTTCGAATTGAAGCAGAACAAAGTTTACACACACAAACAATACAAATACATTGACAGAATAGTTCTTTATACAAACAATGGTAAATGTTATAGAATAGCAGTCTTTGCTGAACCAAATATTTTCATAAAGCAAAGAAAGTTGGTATAACTGAAATGGTGAAAGTTCTTGAAGCAGACAAAAATATAACTTCAAAACTTACAGATATTTCTAAAGGTAAGTTTATCTTACAATATTATGTCAAAACTGGCGTACTGTCAATATTTGACGGAGAGAAGTCAGTTCAAGAACAACTTACTGACCTGCTGCCAAAATCTGCTCGATGGAAGCTGTCGTTATGCCAATCTGAGGAGCTCCAGCAGGTTTCATCGAACGAATTTTCAAAAAGCATCTTCCGTGAAAAGTGCTATTGGTTTTGTAAACTTCTTTGCTCTCAGTTCATCTGGACCGTCTCTGTCACCAGTATATTGTATTTGTACAGTACCAACAGTTGAAATACCACCATAAAGTCTTCTGAGTCAGCAAATGGAATGCCAAGCCAAAAGTTTGAACGGTCTCCATTTGTATATTGAGTTTTTTGACCTCCTGTATGGGTCCATACTTTCACATATGGCATAATAGAACTTTGCATTTCAGGGTTTATGGTTGTTGTGAAGTTGTTGTTAAAGTTCATAGCATCTAATGTCAAGATGTATGACCTCATATCCTCAACTGTAAGAATATTCTTCTCTTGGATAATATTTGCCATCTATGTTTATATGATATTTAATACCGGGGTTGTAGAAACAAGAATAGTCATTTATAGTTCGTCTGAACAGTACAAACATAGTATCTGCATGTTTCATTGCAGTTGTTAAGGCAATATCTGTTCTTGCACCTGGGTCAGCACTTTGGTTTCCAACTTCACCTGCAAAGTCTTTGACAGATATTTGGTGTATAGGGAACATAAGTGGAACTGCAATATATTTGGCAGCTAAAGCATTTGAAATATCTGGGTCCAACATATAGACTGCAAGTCTGCTTTCTATTCTCTTGCATTCAAATTTTCGCATGTGAACTTAACTGGGTCCCAAGCAGTTCCAGCAGCATTGAAATAATAGTTTACTTCAGTGTTGAGGTTTGAGAAACCAAAGTCTAAGTCAACTTTGTCTTTGCAAAATTCGGCGAATGACGTTTTATTTGTTCCCTCTACGTCTGTAAGAGTGAATGGGTCTTGTGTTGGTGCAATGACTAAGTTATTTTTGCTTGGAGTAAGTTCGATAGAAATTTTTCCTGCCCAGTTGGCAAGTATCTTAAAAACCTGAAGATGAGGAAAGATGACAAAGGAACTCTAAGTTTCAGTTTTACTTTAGTGGCAGCAGTTCCATCTGAACCAGAAAGGTTAACATAAACTCCTGGAACGTTAGGGTCAAGTCTTCTTATTTTCTCAATAGTTTGCATACTGGTCTGTTTGTTCTCTAGCTTGTGGTTGTACTGAGTTTCTCAAAGCGAACCATTCATAGTTTGCCCATGTTACTGTTTGAACTAAGTCAGAGTTAGAATATATCTTATATCCCATGAAAACTTCTGGAGCATATTGGTATCCGACATAGAAAATTCCATTGCAACCTTTCTTGTCAGACAACTTGGCAGAAGGTTTTATTTCAATGTCTTGTTCCACGTATAAGAATGAGTTGTCAATAGAAATTATATGAAACTGTCGCAAGCAATATCTACTGTTGTTGAAGAACCTTCTCCAAACTCACCTACGTTTCCATAAGAAACAGCAGTTGTATATTCGTAAGTTCCAGGAACTATTTCTGACCTTCTAATGGCATTGTCGCATTCGTTATACCATTCGGAAACATTTCCATTCATGGCATCCAAAACTGTTGGCGTTATATTCTGAGCGGCGTACATTTCATATGGGTAAAAATATAGAATAGTTGGATTTATTTGTCATAATTGTTTCGGACCAAGCTTTACTTTCTTCCTGACTGAGTTTTTAACTCTTCTTTTTCCTTCATTGCCACTACTTTCACTAGATGAAGTTACTTCTTCACTACTTTCACTTTGTTCTACTCTTCTCTCTTCTTCTTTGGTGTCGCTTTTTTGTAACTTGCCCTCTGCTTCAAGTTGTTGCATCTTTGCCTCATGTTCACCTAGTATGTTGTAAATTTCCCATGCCCTTTTTGCCTTTGGGCTCTGGTCGCCCATCTCAGGTAACCTATATCCTAGAAAGATTTTGTCATAGTTTGTATTGAGTCTTCGCGTATTGTTTGCATGACTCTTTCCTGAGTTTCCGGTTCAAGCTCTTCAAACAGAGCTTGTCCATATGGAATAAGCTCGTTTCCAAATATATTTTTTGTAGCCATTCTGGTTTTCTTTCCATGTTACCAACAATATCTTTTGTGAATGGGAAAGCTTTTACCCAATGTTTCAGTCTTGCGTCATTTATTTCTGTAGTTGGTTTTATTTTGTCAAGGAACATGTTTTTCAATACTAACATTTCATTTGGTACTGTCCATTTGAGTTTTCTAAATATTCATCCCTTCTCAGTTCATTGTCTGCAAAGTAAGTTTTTATGACATTTTGTAAACTTTCGTTTGCAAGGTCATGTACAATAGGTTCTCTTCCTTCTCTCTCCCTAACTTTCTTTCTAAACTCTTCACCAAATATACCATCTCTATGGTTCTGTGTAGTTCTTTGAGATAAATGTTCTAGAACGTCAGGTGTTATATTTCCATCAGCCATGTTCATTTCATACTGGTCCAAAATATCTGCATGTTTCATATCTTTCAATGGCATTAAAGCCGCGCTGAAAATACCAGCTAAATCTGGTTCACCATTGACTTCCATTGCGTCTACAACTTCTTGGAATTGTGGTTGTAAGTTTATGAACCACCTATCCGGGTTAGCTTTATGACCCCATCTCATTGTAGTTCCATAGTCTGCAGAAACAAAAGTAGGTTTGTTTCCATATTGGTTAGGTTCTGAATGAACTTTAAACAATGTTTCATTTTTATATGTTTTGTTGAAATTTAACCTTTTATTTTCACCGAGTTCAGCCAAAGATTGAACGTTATATGGTCGTAAGTAAAAAGGGTTATTGTATTTGCGTACATTTTCTTTCAGTACTTCCATTCTATGCTGAATATTTTCATCTGGTGTTGGAGTCTTTTGTATGTCGGCAAACATTTTTCGATATTCTTCTACTATGTCAGCCGAATTTTTCTTAGACTCTTGGAAAGATTCCATATTCTCCGCATACTCTTGTTGAGGGTCAAGATTTTTCGGCTGTTCCAAATCTTCATCTAGTTCTGTGAAGTTAGTTTCCAAAGGAGGGACTTGTTCGTTTCCTTCAGGCTCTTCTAGCTGTTGTTGCTGAACTATTTCTTCCATGTCTGGTTGTATCTGAACTTCTTCCTGTGGAGTTTCTTGTACCTCATCTGCTGGCATTTCATATATTCCGAGACCGTTTTTAACAAGTTCCCTATCTAAGTCATCCGGACTCATAAACCTTTCTTCTTTCGTTCCGTCTCTATTTTTTACGCGTTTCATGAAGAGAGTTGAATTGTCATTTAGCTCTGACACCAAATATCTCGGAGTAAATTCAGTCATGTCATTTGGATGATATGCTATTAAATCATATCCCTTAGCGAGCTTGTATTTTCCAGGTTTGAAATTATATCCCATTTGGTGCTGAGCCATAAAGCTAAATAGGTTCGGGTCAGTATTTCCTTCCTTGAACTTTCTAATAGCTTCTTTATATCTGTCACTAAAGTCAAGAGTATCTGGGTAACCATAGTCTTCCTTAAGCATTTTTAAGAATTCTTGGTTTCCTTGTTCTCTACTTCTTTTATGTCCTTGCTCTGTTTGTGGTTGTTGTTGTGCAGGGTTTTGAACTGTTGGTTGCTGTGCTGGTTGCTGTGCTGGTTGTGGAGGTGGTTGTTGTGCTGGATTTTGAACTGTTGGTTGTTGTGCTGGATTGAACTGTTGGTTGCTGTGCTGGTTGCTGTGCTGGTTGTGGTGCTGGTTGTTGTGCAGTGTTTTGAACTGTTGGTTGTGGTGCTGGTTGTTGTGTTGGTTGTTGTTGTTGTGCTGGTTGTTGTTGTTGTGCTGGTTGTTGTTGTTGTGTTGGTTGTTGTTGTTGTGTTGGTTTTGGTGCATGCCTGTGTCTGTGTCCATGTGACGATGTAAATGTTTTAGGTAGTCCTGGTGCAGGTGCTTCTCTTGGAGGGTTTGGTGGTATATAAGTTCCACCAGCTGGCACATATGTTCCATCTGCAGCATAATGTCCTACCTGACTTTTCGTTTTTAAGAAAGCATTTACTAGGTCTGTTTTGGTCTGTTGTAACTCTTTTTCTTGACTTTCCACAACAGTTGCTCTAACGGCGTCATAGGCACTTTGAACTGCCTGTCTCGTTGCTGCATCTGTTATTTTCGTCATATTTTGTGCTACTTCTCTTAACTCTTTGTCGAAACCTTCAGACTTCAGTTTCTTTCCAGATGAGAAGTCGTTAACTAGTTTCACCTTACTATGAAGAGCTTCGAAGGCGTTCTTAAAGTCAGCATTCATTAAAGCTTCATTTGAACTGTCTTCATCCGCTTGTATTTTTGTCCTTATTGACCCTATAAGTTGGGCTGCTTTAGCGTTGGCTTGGGCATCTAACCAGTCATTATTAGCTTTTATATATTCTGCGCTTTTCATTGCCTTTTGCATGGCTGCGTCGTTATTTTTACTTTCTTGTGCTAAGTTTTCATACTGTACGGTTTGGTTTTGCAACTGTAAAAGTTTTTCTGCCTTTACATTTGCTTCAACTTCTTTTTTATACTCATCGCTATCCATATATGTCTTCAGGGCTTTTTTGTTTTTTTTCTTCATCTTCAGTACTTTATATTGAGTAGTATGGTTTTTCAAATTTATAACATCTTGTCCATTTTTGCTACTTCTGCTGCTTTTTCTGACACTTTTTTCGCATATTCCTCTGTACTTAGTTCTTTCAGTTGTTCTTCTTTCTTCTTTTTCTCTACGTTTAACTCATTGAGTTTCTTTGTGTGTCTGTCATATTCTAGTTTCTTTTCGTTTTCACTTATTTGCTTCTGTATGTCTATGTTTGACTTTTTGACATCTGATATTGATTTTTGAGTGAACTCAAATTCATTTGACTTTGAGGGTTATAGGCTGTTCCGTCTGCAGCTCCACCATAGCCTGCCATTTTCGCTAAAAGTGCCGCTCTTAAACCTCCACTCTGTGCACCAATAACTCGGTTTAAAAGCATAGGATTGCTTGACATTTGTTGCAACATAGTGGGGTCATTCATCATTTGTTGCAACTGTTGTTGTGGTGTCAGTTTTACTATTGGATGTTTCAATGCTCTCTTCCTCTTACGTATATTCTTACGTAGCTTACGTGGCATTTTAAGTGAAGTTTAAAAAGCGGTTTTTGACAGATGTTTATATGACACTTTTGTTCAGCACAAAAAAACTACTCGGTCAAAGTGTTGTCAGTTTTGTAAAATAACCGTCCTATCTCATTCTATAAGGGGGAAAGTCTTCTCAAAGTATACTTCCTTGGAACGCCTGTAACTTTTCCTGTAGCGACGATAGACCCTTGCTTGTCCGACAAAGTTATACTAAACATCTTCAGGGCTAGAGGGCACGAAGTGCCTGGGGCCCCACTACCTTTTTTTTTTTTTGGGGCCTCCAGGCACTTCGTGCCCTCTAGCCCTGAAGATGTTTAGTATAACTTTGTCCGGACAAGTAAAGGTCTATCGTCGCTACAGGAAAAGTTACAGGCGTTCCAAGGAAGTATACTTTGAGAAGACTTTCCCCCTTATAGAATGAGATAGGACGGTTATTTTACAAAACTGACAACACTTTGACCGAGTAGTTTTTTGTGCTGAACAAAAAGTGTCATATAAACATCTGTCAAAAACCGCTTTTTAACTTCACTTAAAATGCCACGTAAGCTACGTAAGAATATACGTAAGAGAAGAGAGCATTGAAACATCCAATAGTAAAACTGACACCAACAACAACAGTTGCAAACACAAATGATGAATGACCCCACTATGTTGCAACAAATGTCAAGCAATCTATGCTTTTAAACCGAGTTATTGGTGCACAGAGTGGAGGTTTAAGAGCGGCACTTTTAGCGAAAATGGCAGGCTATGTGGAGCTGCAGACGGAACAGCCTATAACCCTCAAAGTCAAATGAATTTGAGTTCACTCAAAAATCAAATATCAGATGTCAAAAAGTCAAACATAGACATACAGAAGCAAATAAGTGAAAACGAAAAGAAACTAGAATATGACAGACACACAAAGAAACTAAATGAGTTAAACGTAGAGAAAAAGAAGAAAGAAGAACAACTGAAAGAACTAAGTACAGAGGAATATGCGAAAAAAGTGTCAGAAAAAGCAGCAGAAGTAGCAAAAATGGAACAAGATGTTATAAATTTGAAAAACCATACTACTCAATATAAAGTACTGAAAGATGAAGAAATAAAACAAAAAGGCCGGGTTGTTTTATTTA